CCCTGAAGACACATTTGAACTTTTCCAATTCAAAGGTTGGAATAGGTCATATGAAATTTCAGGGGTGAATGAGTTATTATAACACGGTTAAAAAAACCACCCCAGAAACATGATGAGATCACTAAGAGTAAGAATAGCCCAGTGTCTACTCACACTGACGATGTATTATCTCCTCCATACTCTGTTTCTGTTTGTTACTGGTATGGAGCCGAGTCTCAGCATCCTGTACCATCTTCACCATCAGCTCATACTTGGACTGGATCGTAAACAGTTCAGCGCGTAGGAGTTTGTTCTACAATAGTAATACATGTGGAATATGAATCCAGCAATACAAGGTTGTTAATCTGTTTTTGAATTTACTGAATGTAGTTACAGGTATAGAAATTACATATACTGGTATGAAAACACTTTAAGTAAGCTCAAACACCTAGAATTCATATACATTTTGCATGTTAAATAACCAAGTTTAATCCCATTTATCCCTTGTTATGAGTTTGTGATTTGACCAGTAGTAAATAATTTGTATTTTGACCAGTAACTTAGAGAGCAATAATCTATTAAATGAGACACTGACCTCCGCCGTGACTTTGGCATCACTACCACCCTTAGGGAGCTGGGTTGTCCAGAAACAGCCAATGAGAGATTTCTCCTCATCCAGACAGATACGAAGGTTTTCGGAGCTGAGGGAGAGTTCCTTCAAGGTACTGTACTCTACACTCTGTAAGTACAAGAAACTTTGATTAAAACAAGCACCTCATACATTACAAGAGTCCTGTGGGTCTGGATGATCACCCAACTCAGGATAGGAGATATTGTTATTGGCGTTAAGAAAACAAGATATTTATGAAGAACCCTTGAAGATTGTTGGGTCAAAATGAAATGAAATACAGTTTGCAAGTATTTGTATTATTCTTCATGAACTTGTGAGAAACAGCTATTTGTGTCCCTTTCCCCTTATAACTACTGATGCAATGTCCCATTTTAGGTCCCTTTCCCCTTTTAACTACCGA